TTACTGCGGCATTTGGACAATTGGACAGGACAAATCCAAATAAAATTTAATTGGACACCTAAAAATGCCAACCCTGCATGTAGGGTTTATTATTAGATAAATTTTCTGTACATTAGGATTTGCCAAACCAAATATTTGATCAAATGTCAATGTGTTTCCAAACTGCTGCAAGTGTATTTTCAACAAAATTATCCTCTTTGTTCAAATCTCAACATAACTGATATTTTTGAATATAATGGCAATTTATGGATATGGAAATGATGATAAATAGCCATTTCCTGCTCCATGCCATTCACCATTGAATATATTAATAGATGTTTTGTAATATCTAGTGCCAACATTAAAAATTTTCTGGTAACAGTTAGAAATTGCTATATACAGCAGTGCTCCATGTCGTAATTCAAAAAAGGAAACAAAGTGGTCATAAAGGCGGTTGCAACCAGCTGTCGCAATTATTTTATATGACGCAAAGATGGTAGCAACAATCATCAAAAGTTGCAGCCAGCATCCTTACTTAGATGAAGGTAATGGAAAATTTTACAATTTTCATCTTAAAAAAAAACAATGTCAAATATCAATTGACATGATTTATTTTGGTTGGATGAAATTCATCGAAAAAATTAGTTTTGATAAAATATGTTTAATATAAATAAAATTATAAAATTTCATTAAATTCATCGAAAAAAAGTTATTGTTTGATAAAAAATGTGGTCTAATATGAAGAAAACTAAATTCTAAACATTTTTTAATATGGTAATTTTAACTCAAGAAATACCTGAAATCTGATGCTGTTCTCTATATTTACTATGATTTTTCCCATCAGATACATAAAGAATTTTAACAAAAAAAATTTTTTTTTACAACTTTAATACAGCGTAATGTATGTCGAAATACTATTAATATTCATCACCAACTTTGTTGAGTTTATTGGGTAAATGGATTTGTGTCTTCGAGAAAGTTAGTTTTCATAAAATTTAAATATTTTTGTTTTAATGCTTCAACATTTTCATGTAGAAAGGCTACTTTGCCAGCTACTGACATTAAAGTAGCATATTGATTGTGCAGAGATTCTGATAATGCTGAAAGCTTTTGTTCTATATATAAAAAAAAATATATACATATATATATATATATATAAGTAATTTTGACGAGAAAAAAATAAAAAGATAAATTAATCTATTTATATTACCGCTACTACTTTCATATCGAGATTTATCATTCAAGTTCTTAAACTGTCGATCTAATTCCTATATCAATTATGTTTAAACTTAATTTCTTTATAAAAAATATTTTTATAAGATTTTAAAAATATTTATACCTCAATATTTATTTCATATTGTTGCAATCTACTATCGAATGATAGTATCAAATCATAATAGAACCTTTAAATCAATAGTTCAAACAGTTAGTAATTATTGGTGTATAATAAACAATCAAAGGTAAAAATGCGTGTGAATTTACTTTAGAAAAACTGTATCACCAAATTGTTTTACTGTGTCGTTTTGTCCACGAGATGCTGCATCATAGAATTGGCGAACAGTTTCCGCATAACTTGATTGAATATAAGTATCATTCAATAAATCCTTCATTATGGTTTGATCACTTTGTATGTCGTTATTTATTTGAGATACTTTCTGAATTGATAAATTTTTATTGGGTTAGTTAAAAATTAAAGCCTTCAAAAAATAGGTGATAGTAGAATAATACCTGAGATAAAGCATAAATTTCATTATTAACATCTTGCAGTTGTAGTTTAATATTGGGAAGTGTCATGGAATTGATAGATGACATTAATATTTTTTGATCTTGTATGTGTTTACTATTTGATTAAAAAATATTGTTTTTAAAGAAAATTAATTTAATAATAATTTAAACAGGAAAAAAACATGTATAAAGAAATGAAAAATACTCTATTTTTATAAGTTCATTTTTTATATTTTCTGGTAGATCAGAAAACCGAGTTTTCTTTGTTATACTGTTAATATTGAATTGTCCTCTATATACACATAGATTTGTAGGAACAAAATATTATTATTAAAAACAATATAAATAAAATTTGAAAATGAATCTTATGATCTTATGAGTTTTAATAGTTTACGTTGAAATTCCTAATGTGCTGGTGTTAGTGGCACTAGTTCCTGTTCCTTGAAAAATGTTTCTACTTAAATAGTTCATACTTGGTGCTGTAGTGGTTCCACCACTTCCACCAATACCTGAAAACAACTGAGCAGAGGTAGTGGCAGTTGATGTTGATGGCCAGCCAAAAGAACTTTTATTAACTGCTGTTGTACCAATTGAGCTTAATGACGGCATTAATAAACTAGGTGCTGTTGTGGTTGTAGTCCCAGTTCCACTACCTGTAGGATTTCCAAAAGTAAAGACATTTCCAGTAGTATTGCCTGGTTTTAAACCACTACTTGATATGTTGGTACTCGTACCAGGGGCCTGAAAAGTACCCGTTATTAAAGGATTATTGGCAATTCCACCAAAAGCAGTGGTGGTAGCTGGTTTACTTCCAAAAGAAAACCCTTGATTTGTTCCTCCCCCACTAGTTGTAGAAGCAGTGTTCCCAAATGCTGACAAACCAGTACCACCAGTATTTGTTTGAGAATTTGATGATGCATTTCCAAAAGTTGAAAAATTAAAAGGCCTATTTGAAAAAAAAACAGGGGGGGGGGGAATAAGCTTTTCTATTTATATATATGTATTTTATTTTTAACTTACGTTTGAGACATCAAGAGGTTTGTGTTGATCTATTTTTATTTATTTTTTTGATCGACAAAAAAAAATGCATTTATTATTATACATTTCTTAAAAGTAAAATTGTAGATTTTACAAGCTTTCCTTTAGGATAATAAATTAATACTTTATTGATGGGACCAATTATGATGACTGCTGAATTTGACACAGGTCAATTAACACCGTCGCCACCACCACAATCAAATGGACACAGCGATCCTAGATCACAACTTGAAACAACACTTGAATCTTTAATCAATAGATTATGGGACATAACAGTAAAACTCAATGAATATGACAATCATCAGAATAAACAGTCATTAACAAACTCATTGTAAGCTTTTTTTTTTTTAATTTGAAAAAAATATTTTTGTTTAATCTTTATTTATAGTTTATTATTGCTATTATTATTATTATTATACAAGATAGAGTGGATCTTGCAACATTATATGAAAGGGTAAATATGCTTCAAGAAAAGATCAAACAAATAGATGTACCTATAAATGTAATAGAGTAAGCTTTAATGTTATTATAAAATTATTGCTTATAATAAATATTAAAGTCTTATAATAATAATGGTGGTGATGATTTTATTTTTAAATTATTAGTTCTATTGATGAAGGTAAAAATCCAGATATTTATATGAGAGATTATGTTGAAGAAGTTATGATTGAACATATGTCTGTAATAAATAAAAATGATGCTGTGATGGTAAATTGTTAATTGATTAGTAATTATTATTAAGTTAAAATATTTTATTAATCATAATGATAATTTTTTAATTTAATGATATAGGATTTTAAGGACCTGGTTTTAAATCAATTAGGAGAAATATTTCCAGCAGAATCTAATATTTACAAAAATAAAAATCAGAAAAACCTTGAGTAATGACAATAATAGTTTTTTTAGATAATAAACATAGATTGTTAGTTTATAATAGAGAATTATATAATAATAGGCATTAGTTTTATATATATAAAATAACAATCAATAATTTTTCTTTTTCTTTTATTGATTTAATTATAATAATAAAAATGTCCTAATTATTTATAATTCTATTCTATTTATAATTTGATTTTAAATTTAAAGTTTTATTATATTTATATTATTATAATTATTTATTTATATATATAGGTATTTTACTTCAATGATAATAAAATTTTATAAATATATTTTTAATAAAAAAAATTGTTTAATCCAGTTGTTCTGGTTCTAAGTTTGCAGATGATGATGGGTTTAATAAATAAATAAAATCACTGAGTGTTGAACTATTTTTTAATTGATTGCCACTATCTGTCTCACCTATAAAAAAATCTGATATACTTAAGGGTCGAATATCTATGTTCTAATAATTAATAACATTATCAGATAATTAGAAAGTTAGATAAAATTTAATTTATATCAAAAAAAAAATTACATACTTTTGGATCAACATCATCTAAATCACCATCTGGTGATGAATGATTTCTCATATATTCTCTAACAGGGAACATAGCTGCATTTCTACATAATTCTTTCAAATCACTCCCTAAAATTTTTTTATAAATTAATTTTTTTAAATAAAATAGATAAAATTATGCAGATGATGAAATTAATATCATACCTGAAAAGCCTGCAGTTTTTGCTACTAGCTGATCAAAATCAAAATTTTCTTCAAGTTTTTGATCATGTAACATCTTTTAATAAATAAATAAATTTAATTAATATTGTTTTTAAAATCAAAATAATAATAAGCCACTAACGATTTCTAAAATATTTCTCCTTTGTTCTTCATTTGGCAATTGAACAGAAAATCTTTTTGGCATACGACGAAGAATTGCATTATCTATTTTTGACAAAAAAAAAAAATATACATATATTATTTAATTAATATGTCTACCTTTAACTCTATAATAAATAGAAGTGAGTTAAACCTGACCTAACCTACCAATATCATTAGGCCTATTTGTGGCACCAAGTATCTTATAACAGTAATAATAATAATTTAAAAGATAAATAGATAGTTATGTTAATAATATTTATATTATTTCAAATATTCATATTATAAATATATATACATGCATATATAACTTACAATTATACGGATATTTTCATCTGTAGTTAACCCATCCCATAAACTAATAATATATTCAATAGAATATTAAATATTTGTTTTTTTTTACTAAGTCAAATAAAGAAAAGATTATTTACCTCATAAATTCAGCTTTCATCATACCAGTAACTTCATGATCATTACTTCGCCTTTCCCTTAGAAATGCATCTATCTCATCAATAAAAACAATACATGGTTGTAATTTTTTGGCAACTGAAAAAACAGCTGAAACAAGTTTATTTGATTCACCAAACCATTTATCAGTTAATGTTGAAACATGAAGATTGATAAATGTAGCTTTAGATTCACTTGCAAGTGCTTTTGCCAACATTGTTTTTCCACATCCTTATTTGAAAATTTTTTTTGTGAATATATATATAAATTTTAATTCAAAAATAAAAGGAAAGGTTTTGGATAAAAAAATTAATTTACCTGGAGGACCATAAAGTAATACACCTTTAGGTGCTCCTAATAATCCCGATGAGGAAGAGAATAATTCTGGATAAGTTAATGGAAATATTACTGATTCACGAAGGTTTTGAATAATTGGATCAAGACCTTTATTTATTTAAATGAAATAAATTAAAAACAAAAATAAAAAACATTGGAATGACTATTGGTTAGGGATAATAAATAATATAATGATGAAAAAATACCTCCAATTTCTATTAATATATTGTATTAGATATATTAATGATAATGACAATCAGTATGTTTGTTAATTCCTTGAATGATATATACATTTATATGATACTTATAAAAATATAACAACGTACTTTTGAAATTAACTGAAATGTCTTCAGGAAATATTACCTCTGAAAGAATTATTTCTTCATATTCACTGAGTTTCAGATCTTTTAACTATCAGCATAAGAAAAAGAATGTTTTGATTGATTTATCAATAATCAATCTAATAATATGTATATATAGATATATATATTAAAAACATACTCCTAGTTTACTTAAAACTTTATCACTTTTTGCCTTTGATTCTTTTTTCTTGTCTTTTAAAGGATCAAGTGATTTAACAACATATTTGACTGTGTAGTATAAAAGTACTTGTGAAATGGCAATCATGGCCACTAAATTTTCAAATATATATAAACATTTACAGAAATCAATCATAATGACATTTTAACATAAATATATAAATAGCTATTAATAAAAAATTACCTTCGGCAAAGAATTTTTTTGCATTTGAAGGTGCCATTTTTCACAAAAAGAGAATTTATATGCTAAATTGATCGACAATTTCAATTGTTACCTGCATGATGAATTTCTCTATCAGTCGAACGCAGCGGGTCATTGTAGATCAAGTGTCATTCAATATAAACGTTACACGAATAAAATTATTATCGTCCACTTCAAAAAAAAAATCTCCGTTTT